CCCTCCTGAATTTCATTTTCTAGGTATCTCCATCATCCATTTCTCTTGTGCAGTTAGTTTCTTATGTTGCTTTTCCATATTTCTTCTCATGTGTTTCACTTGCCTGTTTTTCAAATATAATTGACTGGCTCTTTCACTGCTAAGTCAATTCTGTAACCATAAAGACAGGAAGCAAACTGTTTCCCTGAATTACCCCACACAAGCTGAGGTTTTTCTCCTTGATTATGTGTGGTGCATGCCTGCTTTTCCCCCATCTTTCATCTCATCTGTAAACTCTCCCTACACTCTCCTTTAGGGGCACGCTGCCCTTACATTTTCTCCATTATTTCTAATAAGTGCCAGTGTATGTAGCAATACTTTTCCCCCATACTCTTCCCCAATTGCTATAACACACGTTCCATTTCTGTGTCATACCTCAATGCTACAATCACCTTGGCAATTATCAAAATCTTCTCTTCTTATTTCTACTATCCAGAAAGTAAAAGCAGTATTTCTGATCAACTTGTCCATTTCTTCCTCTTTTCTTGCTTTTGTGTCTAGCTGAGTTGTTGGTTTTTGCTTAAAATAAACAAACAAACAACAGCAAAAAAACCCAACAAAACCAGACCACAAACAAAACTAAAACTTTCTACCCAGGTCATCTTTCTTCCCTCCCATAGAATCTGCTAAGTGTTCATCACTTGTGATCTGTGTCAGGCAGCATTCCCCTCTGATCAAGTTGCATAAAGTAGCATTATATTTTAAATTGTGATTTCTTTCCAGAAATTGATTTCTAAAGACATGGATAATGTAAACATTGCAGTTAAGCCTCAGAAAAAATAGCCAAACACCATACTACTGAATCTACTAGTACTTTTGGGAAAAGCAATCAAATTTAAAAATTATAACATTGTTTTCCTGTTCTTAAAACAGATGTGGCCTAGCAGGCTGTCCTTTAGTTTGAGTACACTGTTTGAAAGGGTAAGGAACAGATTAAAATAATAAAACAGAGGATTGCCCAATAAAAACTTTTAATATGCCTACATACTTCTGTTTATTTCAGGTTGATTTATCCAGAACATCATCGGCTGGTTGTATTAAACTGTGCATAATACTGGTCTGTTGGAACGTTTGAATATTCCTCTTCTTTAAGATAAATGTTCCTAGCAATTAAAAATAAACATTTATTAAATGTTTTCTCATTATAATACAAAAGCAACCTGAGAATCCAAAAGAAGATATAATTCATAAACACTCATAAATGCTCACAAAATTCAGAATTATTAGAAATGGTATTTAATATAATTAGATCTTTTTCTCCAAAATGCATTTCACATCTCAATAGAGCAAACTTTTTTTAATCTTAAGAGAACATTTAAAAAATCTTGCAGTGAAAAACTAAATTAACACAATTCTGAATTTCATAATAAGAAAGCATCAGGTACTGGATATTCTTTTGCAAAATGTATGTATGCATAATGAAAAAAACTAAACTGAAACACAAAGACTAAAAGAACACCAAATCACTTGGTTTGATTTATTTTTTCCTTCATAGATTGTCTTCCCCCCTTCCCATTAGACACAAGAGCTGTCCACTTCATTTGTGTCTTTGGCTTAACCCTGAGATATCAGAAACTGGCAGTTCTACTGGTTCATAACCTTTTTTATTTCAGAAAATGAAGAGTAAATTAAAAACACGTGTACTGTTTTACACGTAATAATGTAGTTTTCTGCATGGTTAATTGTATTTATTCTCTATTTTGCTATCTATATAAACTGTCTTTGTCAGCGGAACATGTAAGAATTCCAGTTACTAATGCATACATGTAAGTCAGTAACAATCATAACCTCCTGTTTGAAGATTGTTTAAATAGTACTGAAAAACACCCTGAAGCTGAACTGTTGATTTTTTTTCAAGTATAAAATTGCAACAAGTGTATTAAAAAATTAACCAATAATACAAGTAAAAAAGGTTTTTAAAAGCCAAGCTATTGTGTTAATGGTAAAGATTGTTATTGGAAAAGAAGAAAACTCTCTTGGTACTTACTTTGATCTTTGCTCGTGGGACAGCTCTGTGTTGACGCTGTCTAAAGCCTGGCGGAGTTCCCGATTCTGTCGTTGATGATGCCGCTCTAAAACCAGCAGAGCTCTTGCAGCCTGTAACCTTTGCCTGTCCCACTCAGCCTCTCTTCGCTGTTCTTCCTGTTTTAGTCTCTACAAAAATGACAAAATGATCCATTTTTACTTTGTTCAAAGATGAAACAGTCAATAGTATCTTGGGACGTATTAAGAACAGTGCGGCCAGCAGGTCAAGGGAGGTTGTCCTCCCCCTGCACTCTGCCCTTGTAAGACCTTATCTGGAGTATTGTGTCCAGTTCTGGGCTCCCCAGTTCAAGAGGGGTAGGGACATGCTGGAAAGAGTCCAATGGAGAGCTACGAGGATGATTAAGGGACCAGAACAACTGTCATACTAAGAAAGGCTAAGAGACCTGGGCCTGCTTAGTCTTGAGAAGAGAAGTCTAAGAGGGAAACTTATTAATGTCTAAAAGTATCTGAAGGGTGGATGTCAAGAATGGGCCAGTCTCTTTTCAGTGGTGTCCTGTGATAGACAAGAGGAAACAACAGCAAGTTACAACACAGGAAGTACCACCTCAACATAAGGAAAAACAGCTTTACTGTGAGGGGGACAGAGCACTGGAACAGGCTGCCCAGGGAGGTTGTGGAGTTTCCTTCTCTGGAGACTTTCAGGAACCATCTGGACGCTTTCCTGTGTGATCTGCCCTAAGTGTTGCTGCTGCAGCAGGGGGGTTGGACTTGATGACCTTTGGAGGTCCCTTCCAACTCCCATGATTCTATGATATAATAAAGTCTGATCGGTAAATTCATCCCAAAAAAACTTGCTAATCTTTACTGAATACTAGAGGTAGCATTTGAAGTAGGGAGAAAAAGAAAGCACTTCTAAACTAGGTAGGAGCCTGTGCCTTAGGCAGAAGCAAGATACTGCAGAAGAGAAAGCTGACCTTTTCCAGGGAGCAAGACAGACTCCTACCTCTGCACAAGGTAAGAAATCAGGATCTGATGCCTGGCAGAAGTAAGTTAACCAGTAGATTACCATTTCTCTCTGACATAATAGGTTTCTCTAAAAACCCAGAAAGGCAAAACAGATTATTTTCTTATTTAAGTTATTATTAGCAAGACTTCTAACTTCTTGAGGTCAGAAGTTGGTAGACATCAGTATGGCTAACTCAGTGTAATTAACTGAGCCACCAACACCAGGTGAGTAGACCCAAACTGCTTTTTCCTCTGCCCTTCTTCTACTATTACTTCCTTGCTTCATGTTTGATATTAAACTGATTCAAGAAATAAGGCCTGCAAAAAACTCACTTTTCCTGGTGGGGCTCATTTTCTGCCAGCTTCACTACTTGAATGGGTACACTTTAGGGTCATAGGAGAGCCAGAAAAATGACAATTCCATCTTCAGCTTTAATAACAGCAGTAGATAAGACAGTACAGCATATGGTATTGTAGGGATTAAAAAAATAAAATTGAACAGCTATTCATTAGCTGTTATGAATCCAGGCTCCTCACTGAATGAAGTAAGTAACTTCCTACTTTGCAGTACCTAGACCTGTACACTTGTGACTGCATAGAAAGGGGTAGAGTTCTTAATTTTGACTTACTGCTCCCATACACCTTTAGAACAGCAATAATTAGCAATATTTAATTTTCTATTGTAATTCTGTTCCAGAGCATGGCTCAGAATTGTGTGGGATGACAGAAAGGAAATTCTGTTGCATTAATGAACTTCTAAAGCTATGAAATATGCATGGGCAGAATAACTGGACCTGCTCTGATTGTCTTCCTTGAATACCCTTGAGCATGAGACCACTGCCAAGGCCTGCCCTGATCTCACCCTCAGCTCTGGGGTCTTCTTCCCCTATGCCCCTCACAGGCAGCTCCTGCTGTCTCAATTCCTAAACTGCACCATGAAGGCTGGGGCTTGGGCTGTGCAGGTCTTTGCTCCTCAGCTGGACCACCATGGACCATGCCTCAACATCCCCCAGGCCCCTTGGCCCTAGGCTCCACAGCAGCCTTCCTCCCTGCCCAAGTCCAGTGCTCCAGCCCACTCCTGCTCCATGGTATCGCCCAGCTGCTCCAAAGACACTGTGTTCAGTTTTGGTAAAATTCACATAAATGGAAAACAGTTTTTTGGTGGGACAACAGGGTAAACAATATTTTCTTCTACAAACATTGTCTACAATAATATTGCAACGAAGAACACAGAATATGCACATAACCTTAAATACCTGTTTCTCCAGAACTTGTTGCTGTTGAGCGGAACGGATTGCCATCAGCTGATCCTGATTCATTCCCTTCCATCTATCTGTGATCACACGATGTGTACCAAAGGAACTGACTGCTTGTTCTGGGTTTTCAGAAAGTAAGTTCCCTTTAAGGAGGTTGGAAATTTCATCCATGTCATCTTTCATTTTTTGATACTTTTCTGACCTCTTTTTCTGAGCTAGTTCAGCAACCTAAATTCAGTGAAAGGAGAGAACTGATAGTTTTTCCAAGAGAAAAATACCAACTAAGGGATGCAAAAACAGTTAGCATATCAACAATTTCTTTCCAACTCACATACAGTTGTCAACACATATGTATACTATGATCATGGTCCTATGGGCTACGACCAAAAATCTAATAGTATGGATTTCTTCAGGGATGTGATATCACATTCAGCAAGTAATTTGGGGAAAAATAATTGTGTTTTGTAAGAAAATCCAGAATTAAATAAAAATCAATTTCACATTTATCCACAAGCAAATAACAGTAAATATTTAAAGGCCAGGCAAAATATGGAAGAATTTTATGGTAAAAATGTACCATCTTGAATCACTAGCCTTGATATATATTACCTATATATCTTCATGGAAAGCATGGTTAAGCACTCAAAACAAACAGGCAGATGATGCCTATGTTAAGCCTGAAGATGCAGCCTTGAATCTGATCCCTTTGCTGATACAAAATGCAAAATTGAATGAGATTATGTAAATATTAGAAACCATAATATGCATTTCCTATGGAAATCACTGTTCCTGAGGTTCCCTCTAAAGCCACAGGCTCCTATTCAGATGAAATGTTCCACTTTCAAAGCTCCAGAAAGCAAATAGGATTATTTTACGTTAAAGTAATTACTTTCCAAGGAAGAATTAGACTAAGAAATACTATGCATTGCTCATCCTGTCTCCTTCTTCTGTAATGCATAAACTAAACCATCTGAACAATGCACAGTGCTGGCCTCCATCCGGACAGAGAACAGGTAATAATATCCTTCTTGCTAGGGTATGAAGAGCACAGGTGGCCAGACCTGTCTCTCATATATGTAGCTTTAAGTGTATATCTTTGCTGCAACAGTCCAGTGGATACCCATCTGTCCAATTTGCCCAAGATTGTCTCATGCTCTGTTAAAAAATCACTGGTTTGAGAACATTCACTTTACAAGTTCAGTAAAAGAACTCTGTACTTTTCTTGCTGATTAGTAGTTCAGTGCTTGGCACACATACATTTATAAAGTGGATGAGGACAAATGAAAAATGGAAGGTTATGCATCAAGAAAGTCATAGCAAGTCAAATAGTTTTCTGTGGCATATAAGGTGAAGTCGAAAATTAGTAAGCAAAGAAACTGGAAGATACAAGCAATTGAGAATGGCAGGACCATCTTGGCACGTGTAGGAACCTGTTCCTCTGCAAATTTTACGGAGAAGAATCCTAACTCAGCAAGCACGGTGATCTATGCCACCAGAGGAGACTGCTAACCTGGGTTTCTCTCTACATTTGTATTTATGGACTTGGTGTTTAGATGACAGCACTTCTCCCAGGCATCAGGCCTGGAGACTGTCAAAGAACAACTTCTATTTGCTCCAAGCAAACATACACAAAACCTGCCAGGGACTAGATAGAAGGAGAAATAAACAAGTCTAAGTAAATTCCATGATTGAGAACAGGCCTGCGGTTTCAATTAAAATAAGTATTGATGTACAAACAAACTAATAAGGAGAAATACATTTTTTTAGAATTACAAATTAGCTAAAAAACAATCCAACTTAAGATGAAGCAGAAAATCTCCTTTTAAAATACTTACTAGCCATCTAATAAGAATATACACTCTACTTTGGAGCAAGAGAAGAAATGTCTTCTTTTAGACAAATGGAAAAACTCAAGCAAATCAAATTTCAAGTGGCAAAAATATCCACTTCAGATCTAGTAACTGCTGGTTCTACCATCATTAAAATGGAATAATACACTGGAAACTAAAGGCCACTTTTTAATTTCACTGAAGTCAGTGAGTACAATTGTTACAAGAAGTCTAAAGTAATTTTTTTAAAACAGAAATGCATTTCCGTGAAGTTATGTTGTTTTCTTTTTTCCTCCAGAAGAGTCAATAATTACTTCAGACGAACTATGACATCACGATTTCCAAGAAAAAAAAAGAAAACAAAAACCCAAAAGATTTTCAATAATCTGTTGGTTTTTGGACTCTGAACCAGAATATGTGGCTATGTGCTCATTAATACTAAGAGTTGAGCAATTGGAGACTCCTGTTCAATACATTTGAGGTCAGATACAGAGGTTTCTTCTGTGAAGTTCATGCTTAGGCTGAATACCTTAGTTTTCTCTCTTGGGAAAAATACGTATAGAAAAGCTCTCTGTAACATAGCTTTCTCTTAGAGATATCACTGAAAGACATAGCAACCTGAAACCTCTGACCTGAATGTTTGATAAAGAAAGGGGGGAAAAAAGGGGGGGAAAAAAGTTTTGGGGAAAGGGGAAAAGGGGGGGAAGAGGAAAAAGAGGCTAGGTTAGAAAAAACTAAGAGCAAGACTCTTTTTAAAATATATTTAATATGCACAGAACTTGCATAGAATGTATATGCCCAAACATTAAGAACAACACAAATCTCCCATCCCATCTCAAAACCCTAGCACAAATTCAGGAATTTTTACTTTGAATCAATTGGTATGACAACGACAATTTGGGATACTACTGCTACCCTGAGATAAAGTATCCTACTTAGGATACTTTAGTGGCTCTTCATATAAAATACTATTCAGTAGCCTCGACTTCAAGCAACAAAAGCCTCTTCAGTTACCTTGGGCTCTTTATAAACAACTCTACCAAATATGCCCTGAAAAGTTCAGGCAACACTTACACAAAGACTTGCATGCTTACATACTTGAACTAAAAGATCCCATACTTGATGTAGGTAATTGTAATGTGACTTATTTTGATGTGACTACATACATTTAAAACTAAGTCATACCAAACATAGTTTAACCAAAATCATAGTGTCCATTTAGCCCTTTGAGCTGAAAGTATAAGCTTAGCGGAAAAAAAAAATCTCTGCAGTAAGATAAAGAAGTGGAGCATGACAGATAATGGTACTAAGACAGAGAGAAAAAGGTTCACTTAATGTTTCAACAGGTTGCAAAGCATGCTTGGTAAACAACAACGATGCATGTACCCAAATACCAAGGAAGCAGCCCAGTGCCAAAAACAGTGGTTGTGGAGAATTAATGTAATGAATGAAGACAAAAAGCTACTAGTAGTAACACTTCCACACAAAGAACAAGAAAAGCAGGTGGAAACAGCTAAGATTATCCAATGACTGGTATAAAACAAGAAGAAAGCATGGGAGGCTATTGCTCTACCCCAGTTTATAGAATACAAGTCCCTGAGAGACTGGGGAGTTTTGCTGCCTTCGCATCAGTACAGTGAGAACCAGGAGGGAGAATCTTCACAGGGGGTAACTACATAGAGGATCCTTGGAGAGAATAAAGTGAATAAATTCTATCTTCCAATTACTGAAACAACCTTGAAATTTAGTTGCTAAGAAACCTTTGTGAAAACATCAGTATTCACTGTACTTTTGTGTATCTTATTTTCCTTCTCTGTCTCCACTGTTTTTAAAAACAAACAAACAACAAACCAAGTATTCATTTACCTGGATTTGATTGAAGTCTTTAGTAGCTGCACAAACAGCACGCCTATTTTCTTCTTCTTTCTGTTGTAGCTCCATAGTCTTTTGGTCAATTGCAATCCTATTCTTGTCATAAAGATAATCTAAATTAGAACAAAATGAAACTTAGTCAATATTCATGGACATGATGTGTCATATGAGTAAGCCATGTAAGACACAGAGAGTGAGAGTGCAAGAGACAGACAGGAGCTACAGATGCAGTAAGCTGAATTACATAAATGTTTCCAAATCTGACCACTGAAACTTTCCATCTTGGAATTTCAGGTGACTCATTAGATCAGTTTATTATGTAACCATTCTTGTTTCAACAGTTGGACAAAGTTAAAATGAAAAAGTAAGTACTGCAAAAAAAATATTTCATGACAAGCTAGAAAAGAAAAATCAGTATTATTTGGTCTGGTCTAGAACAGTAGAGATTGGACAATTTGGTAGACATTCCATCTAGCATGAAAAATATGGATGGTTTTTCACAATGCTCTCATACCTAATTTGAGGCATAAACCAGAAATGAAACATTTTTAATATTACAATAATCACATCATTAAATACAGAATTTGTAAGCAAGATATTGAATATAATAGAACTTGTAAAGTAAAAACTGCTGCAGTATTTCTAAAAGTTAAATAATGAATAGACTGAAATTTTGCTTTGTTGAACTGATACAAGAGACCATACCATATTTTTGTCAGATCCATCAGAATTTCAGGAAAAGCAGACTAATACCTTATTATCTATTACCTTCATATTGTTTATCAGCTAATGCATTCTTCCAGTCTTTCTGCTGCTGGAGAGACCACTCTTTGAACTGCTCCTTTTGAAATTTCATCCTCTGATTGTAGTTTAAGTCTTCACCCACAAACTTCTGCAAGCCAGATACAGTACATCGAGGGTCATTGTCTGAAACTCGAGCAGGTCTGTCCTTCTTTAAGGCTTGTGGATCATTCAGGTCAAATTCACGTCTTGTTTCTGGCTTCTGAAAATTCTTCTGAAATTCATTGATGGCTTTATTTATGTTTCTGATATCAGCTTTCTGTCGTTCTTCTAACATACACACGATCTTGTCATTTCGCTTCATTTCATTAGCTAGAGGAAAACAAACACAATGAAAATACAACTCTTAGAACTGCACATGTGATGGAAGTGCACATGTAAGATAGAAAATAAAATTATGAAGAGGAATAAATAAGTCTTCAAATCTTTTTACCCTAGGAAGGAGTATTTTATCTATGAAAACCAGCACAGCAAACACTCTAATGTTAATAGTATTTAATTATAAAAATACTTCTTTGGGTATAAATTATCTTATTAATGTTACAATTAAATATATGCTTGTGAAAAAAAGAATAGTAAATACTTCTAGAACTAAGAGGTCTCATTTGATTAAAACTTGCAGAAACACATGAAATGTACTGTCCACTAATTCTTCCCATTTCCAGTTTAGTTACAACTGAAATACAGTAAGTTGCTTATTAAGAAACAAATGAAAAACAGGCTCCCAATGAAAGAAATGTAGGTAGTTTTTTTGTAGTTCCAATGATTTTTCTAACCATAATACTAAAATAATTGGCTGGCAGTAACAGCTTTTCAAAAGCTTAATCTCTGTTGCCCATTTAATCAAAAGGCTATAATTGATTCAGTTTTAAAGAAAAACAAACTACAAAATAACCTGCTATTTAAATATAATTTGCAAGAAAAGACCATTTCCTCTGCTGCAAGACTATACATTGCTTTTGTCTCAGCTTCCTAGAGTCAGAGTCTGACAGGTATTCTGCCAGGAAAACCACAAGCAGCTGAAGCAGCACAGCATGGAAACTGGAAGCTCCATTCTAGCTCTTCTTGAAACCCCCTGAGAGCTCAGTCTGTGGGACCTTTGCACATGATACCACAGGAAAGCATTCCAAGCACAGAGGGACACAAAAGGCTTTGGGGTCAGGGATCATAGATGAAATATTTGTGTGGCTACGTGTTCTGACTCAGCAATGGCTCCTGCTTACAGCCCTGTTGTACACGACTCATGTTTCTAGCAATAACAATCTATAGAGGATTCTATAGACTCTATATAGTCTACTGAAGAATGGCCAGACAGAACATAGGCATACTCTACAGGAAAGCAATCAAACAATTTTGCCACTGCTATTCTGAAAAAAACCAAAACGCAAAAAAAAGTGTTAAGTTACTAAGTTGTTGTTCGTTTTTTTTTTTAAATGCTCCCATATCAGGCCTCTAAACAATGCTGTTCTTCAACATTTATTAAAAGAAAACGCTGACAATTCTGGCCTACTAGGAAATGTATACCACTTGAAACATGTCAATATAAATTTTCAGATACTGAGGAAAGTACATGCTGTACCAATGCAAATGTGTTAACATAAATAGGACTACACAATATAGTATTCAGATTGTATGTCTGAATCTAGAGAGAAGCCCACAACTGTGTTTTTGATTCACAGATTTATTATAGATAGAGCTATAGATAGGAGCTATAGATAGGAGATAGACTCCATTAGGAAATAAATATGGCAGTCTGAAACACACATAGGGAAAAAGAAAGCAGGAAACAGATAGAAAATTACATTTAACTCTTCACAGAATTATCATAGTTATCTATGGATATACCAAGCTGTTCATTTCGTGCTTTTTCAGCTGCTTCTTGAATTTTCCTATCCTTGACCTGGGAATCCAATGCATCTTTATCAACCTATTAAAATGAAAAAAACCAAAACAAAACAGCTCTTTAAGAGATACTGTGTTTGAACAATAAAAAATATATAATGTCAAGCTACATTGATTCACAGTTGAACAAGACAGCTATAAAACCACTATCAGGAGAGTATAGACACATCGCTGTGTAATGCAGGTAACCAAAAAATAAAACAGAAACAGCAATATTCATGTTTGTTTCCTTCATTTTAATAATTATAGGTATATTTTCACACTAAATTGAAATAGAACAACAAAGTTACACTGTTATAGTGCTTTAACTATAAACATTTCAAGCTGCATTAAACAGTGTATGTTTTCTCCAGTATCGTTGGCATTTATACTTAGTTTTTATTTATTATTTTTTTTCTGCTTTCATTTATGAAGTAGGTAAATATTTTGCCACTCAAGATGACAGGAAGTTACAATAGCTCAGGTCTGAAAAAAATATAGATGGTTCATAAGAAGTACACTGCAGAAATAATGGGGAATGGAAAGAAGTGTTCCATTCTTTTCTGACAGAGCAGGATTCATGTAGTTGCCGAAATGCAGTTAGTGAGTGCCATTTGACATACATGCAGACATCTACAATGAGCTGACAGACATGATACAGATTATTCACATCCCTAGAGAATGGTAGCTGAGCAAGGCATAATAACCCAAGGCATATCAACAAATGGTAGCAGCCACTTATATTTTGGACAAAAGAATCAGGTCCATAGTTGTCGATAGAAATTGGGAAATTAATAGGCAGAAATGTGGATATTATTTTATTTTTTTTCTACTGAGCAAGTCACTTAAGTCTTTAAGACTTAACAAAAAACAATGGCAATTCTTTGAGAATTTGCTACACTATTTTTATAGTCTTTGCTTATAAACCATTCAGATCAAGACACAAACACCTAAATAGACCATGACTGAAAATACTGTTAATGCTGTAAAGGATTAATGACTATACCTAATAGGCAAAGAAGTGAATCTGTGAGCAAGGGTGAAACCACAAAGAATTCTACCCAGTATCATTTTCCAAAAACAATGGTGTCATAGGCACTAAACATCAACTCATTCAGAGGTCTCATTTGGAAAATCAAGCTCTCAGCATAACTACAGGAAACATGGTTAAGAGAAATGTGATATGACTTCATTAGTAAATTCTGGCAGTAATACAGATAAGTCAATGTATTGACTTATGTGTGCAAATTCAGTTATGCTATCAGCTCTCTTCCATTCCTAGTAACATGAAGCTCCAGGTTTAACTTTTAAGCATTAACAAATTGCTTAATATGAACAGTTTGAAGCAGCTAATTTGGAATCTACTTGTATTTATGTATAATAGTTCATATATAAATTGAAAGTAATTTTTCATTTGGACTACTCATCCAAATGAACTATTTTGGAAAATTACAGATTTACTGAAGATAAGTTCTTAAATCTTTAAGTGAAGAGAGCAGTATCTTACTTTTCCGTTACTCAGATGAGGAAACGGATACTGAAGTCAAAGCAATAATAAAACTAGTAATAATCAAGAAAAATAATTAAAATGTCAGTTCCCATTCCAGTCAATATATTATCTCCATGTTTTTAAACTGCTCAGTTCTTGCTTGAGGATTGTTTTATGTACTATTTAGGAAAGACAGAGCAACAAGGCGAGGTGGTGGTGTTACTCTTTAAGTACGAGAGCAACCGGAATGTATTTTCCTGCTCTGGCAGGGAGGGTTGGACTCGATGATCTTGGGAGGTCCCTTCCAACCCCTAACATTCTGTGATGTCTAAATAAACTATCACCTTGATTTTTAAAATGCTGTCAGAGACAGCTGTTCAGCTAAACTGGTGAGAAAGTGAGAGAGAGAAAGCAAAGAATCTAAACCCACATTGGAAATACAGTGGATTTCTGTATAGACTTGGATGAACTTCAAAGCACAAGACTGGCCCCTTCTTTCAGCAGTCATTGCTCATTTTAGAGGTTTGTTTAGATCCATGTAGATGGATCTATCCAAGCATGCCTGATAAGTTAGTTCTGTGAAAGAATTTGGGAAATACCTTCAGGTGGTATATTGCGCAATAATGTACACCAAGATGCACTATTTCATTCTCTGCTGTTTCATTAGCTGAGAAGTTGTGGCTTACATTTCCTTTTTAAGGCTCTAGAAAAGCCACCTTATGGAAAAATTATGTGTTTGCTCATGAAGAAAGTTGAACTATCCTACCATCCCCACCCCACTTCTGTTAAAAAAGGTTTATGGCTCCTTCCACTTCAGTATATTGTTGTCTACCCTGTCTCAGGATTATCAGGTGGACAACCTTCCTGCTCATTAATTGGGAACTGCTACTTTTTTTGTGCAACCATGATGACTCATTGTCATAAGAGTGACAATGATAAATCCAAGGTGCTGTCAGACGCTGACTGGAGACATGTTTCTGTACCTGAGATGAGGCAGATCAAATTGACATCTGATGCAAATCTTCCAGTCCAGTAAGGACAACAGATTTTCACCAAATCTAAACTTGATTCTATACTAGGTAATGCTACAGCACTTACACAATATATAAACCAGCAAAGAGTACTCAAAATACTTTGCAAGCAAAATTTAAACTTAACTTTACCTCACAGCACTCTCTCCTCTATGCATACACATAGGATCTTAGCCTTTGGACACGTTATGGGAAGATTAAATGAACTAAATAAGCATAAAATAGAAAGTAATTTTCTGATAATGAGAGTGCAAACTGCAGAGATTACTCCAGAAAAAATCCATCAGACTGAATCCTCATAGATCTTCAGACTGAAAGGCACTGACATTCTGACATCTACTCTTAAAAAATCAGACACACCAATTAATTCCACATACCTAAACCTGCCCTGATGGATTTTATTTTGCCTGATGGAAAACAGGGACTCATTGCAGGACCCCTTTCAACAATTAATCTCTCATAGCACCAATTCTAGCTCAAACAGATGAGGAAAGTATCAGCACAGTGGAGGAATAAAAGCCACTGAATTAGGCCACATTGTGTGATCTGACTTTGCAAGTTTCTGGCTTACTCCAACAGTAAAGCATACTACATTAACTCCTACACAGACACTGAAGGACGGGTCTTGATCTTTCTGTCCTGTTAAAAAAAAGGGAAACGTTGCCCTCGAGCCCTACCAGCAGTGAGACACAAGCCCCCTCAGACCCTCTCACACCCCTCAGACGATGCCCACCGAGTACGAACTCGCTTTCACCAGCCCCAGCCCTCACAAAGGCCCCACACGGTGCCCCCTCCTCATCTGCCCTTTACCTGGACTCCCCCGTACCCGCAGGCACCTACGAGGCGCTGAGGGGCCCTCCGGCCTTTGGGGAGGCCTCTCCCGCATCCCCCCC